ACTGCTTGTGTAAATGGTATCATATATGTATAATCATTCAACTTGTATTCTTTACTCAACATTTTATTTTTGAGAACTGTTCCAATTGATATACTACATCAGTTCATTTTAACTGTCTCGTGGGATTCCATAGGAAGGCAGACCAAGTTTTATTTGTCTACTATCTCGTGGATGCATGTTTAGGTTGCCTCAAATTTCCTGCTTTCATAGCCCCCTAAGGAGCATGCTTGCACCTGTCTCCACGCGTGTTTTTCTAGGGTGTGTTCCCAGGAGGGGAACGGCTGGTGTTCAGTTTTGCTAGATGCAGCCATATTGCTTACCGGGGGTGCTGTCACGGTTTGTACTTCTACCCACAGTGTCTTACAAAGAGCAGCTACTCTAGTAGTTGATGAGTATTAAACTTCAATGTTGTCCAATGGGTTAAAAATTTGGTATCCGATTTTAATTTGTATTTCCCTGATTGCTATAGAGATTGACCCTCTTTTCATATCTGTTGGCCATTCTTATTTCCTCTTCCATAAACCTGTTCATATGCCACTCATTTTCCTTTTGATTTGTAAGTTTTATATAAACTTTACACAAACAGAAAACAATGACAGCAGATTCTTGTGAATATATTATATAACAAATACATATATCCAAAAGGGACTCTGTATGCCAGTCCTTTGTTTTATTTGTTGTCAATAACTTCTCTTAGTCTGTGACTCATCTTTTAACTGCGTTTGTGGTGCCTTGCCCTAGAAGTAGTTTCATATTTTGTTTTGACCCAGTCTATTTCTCCTCTCCTCATGGAATATACTTTTTATGACTGGTTTGCAAAGACTTTCCCCACGCAAAGATCACAAATATATCTGCTTTATTTTCCTAGGGTATTAGTTTTGCTTTTTTTACATTTAATTCTTTCATCTACCTGGTATTTTATTTTGGAAATGAATATGAATATAATTTTACTTTTTCCACATTTATTCTGAAACAGTTTATTGAATCTTTTCCCCATTGGTTTGTGGAGCCACTTTAGCCATTTTTCAAGTCCCTGTGGACCACTGAGTCTGCTTCTGGTCGTGCTATCCAGCTGTTGAATCTGGTGTTCCATTATGCTGTTTTAATTAGTGTAGCTCTGAAATGCTTTGATAACACCCAGCTCACCCCAACCCAACCCCAGCTTCATTCTTTGTTTTCAAAATCATGTTGGATATTCCTAGATCATTAAGTTCCTTTCATAATCCTGTGAATTTATTGATTAATGTGGGGAAGTGGAATCTTACATTGGAATTTTCTCATCCCCAAACACATTACCACTTTTTTTACATTCTTCAGAGAAGTTTTTTAGTTTTCTACATCAGGGTCATGCACATCTTTTGTTAGCTTTATCTGACACTAGTTTTTGTTGCTATTGTGTTTTTCCTATTAGATTTTTTTTTTAAGGTTTCTGATTTGTAGGTGAGCTCATATTCAGCTTCTTGGTAAACCTATTATTTCTTACATGTTGTCTTTTTCCCCTTGAGTTTTCTGTGTAGATGATTATATAGTATGAAAATAATGGCAGTTTTTCCCTCTTCCTTTACAATTTTTACATTATTTCCTCCTCTAGTTCAGTGGGTGGTAAGGCTCTCTAGAACAGCACTAAATAGTAGAGCTGATAGCATACATCCTTGTCTTTCCTGGCTTCGTTGGAAATGTTTCTAAAGTTTCATCATTAAGTTTGGTTTCTTCAACAGGTTAAGGAACTTCCCTTCTATTCCTAATGTTTGTTTTTTTAATAATCATCTTTATTGGCTTTTTGTGTTTCATTATTTTGTTTTATTTTTATTCCTTTCATTTTCTTAGTAATAACATTAAAATTTTTTTTTTTACTTCTTGTATTCAGGTCATTTATTTTCAGTCTTTTTAAAAAATATATTGTTACGCTGATGAAAAAAGACAGACTAAAAAGTCTGCATGCCATATCATTCCATTTATGTGACCTTCTGGTAAAGACAAGACTACAGGGATGAAAAACATCAGTGGTTGCCTGGGGGTTGGAGGGAGGATTGATTACAAACGGACACTAGTAGAATTTTTGTTGTGTTGGAGCTGTATCGTATCTTGATTGTGCTGGTGGTTACATGAGTGTCCAAACTTACAGAACAGTACAGTAAAAAGGATGAATTTTACTGCATATAAATTATATGCCAGTTAAAAAAAAACCACATGGATCCAAAAAATATATAAAGTAATTCTACTTTTTAATTAATTTGATTTTCTGTAAAGATTGTTTTATTTATATCTAGTGCATTTTTATAAGTAGCACTTTTTTTTAAATAGGAAGAGAAAATTTTTATTTTCATTATTTTAACTTTTAATTGTATTCAAGTACCTTAAGAATCAAAATAATATAAAAATATTACATACATAACAAAATAATATAACAAAGTAATATTAAATAGTATAACAAAGTGATATAAACAGGAATGCTCTCACCTTTTTTCTTGTCCACCCCATTCCTCTCTGTCCACGGCGTGTGTGCCTTTCCATTGTTTTTCTTATGCACGTAAAATACTGGCTCCATTTCTTTTTCCCTTCTAAGATAAGAGTTAACATATTATAAACATTGTTCAGTATCTTATATCTTCACTTGATATTTTCTAGAAGTATTTCCATGTCAGTACTTAGAAAACATCCTTATTATTTTTTTAATAGCTGTGTACTTTTCCATGGGGTGGTGGTATCTTGATTTATCTGAGGAATCCCTCATTGTGATCCCTTGGTTTATTTCTAATTATTTGCTAATAGAAACAATTTGCAGCCAATAACCTTATATACAGATATCATTCTGGACATACTCAGCTATGTCTGAAATAAATTTCAGGAACAAAATTACTGATAAAAGAATAAATGTATTTGTAATTTGTATAAGTACTGTTTTTCCAGATAGCCCTCCTCAAGGTGTTGCCATTTTTTTACTCCACCAGAAATGTACGAGAGAGGGCGTTCTTTTCTTTTCTTAACTCTCTTTAGTTTTTATTACTGAAAAATTTTAAAGTAAACACAGATATCTTGACATACTACTCCTATATATATATATCAGTGTATGACTCTTAAAAATAAGAACGTTTTTTAAAAATTACAAAACTTTTACCAGCTTTATTGAGGTATGACCTACATAGTATAAAATTATTTTAATTGTACAATTCAGTGATTTTTTTTTTACTAAATTTACAGAGATCTACAACCATTACCACAGTCAGATTTTAAAATATTTCCATCACCCCAAAAAGATCCTTTCTGTCAATTTGCAGTCACTGATCCCAGCTGCAGGTAGGTAATCAACCTACTGCCTATAGATTTGCCTTTCCTCAACATTTCATACAATATGTGGTCTTTTGTGTTGGGCTCCTTTTGGTTAGCATGTTTTTTAGGTTCATCCATGTTCTGAATTCTTAAATGATATTTGTTATAACCTGTATCAGCACTTTGTTTCTTTTTATAGATAAGTAGCATTCCATTGCATGGATATTCCACACTGATTTACCCAGGAATATTTTCAGTTAATGTTATCACACGTAACAAAATGAATAATCCTTTCACATGTCCTAATGTCTAGATTGTCTTTAGTTTTCTCCAGGATTCAGTTTGGGATCCTACGCTGCAGTTGTGTGTGTCCCTTAATCTCTTTTAATCTAGAACCACCCGTGTTTCATGGGGTTGACTAGTTGCAGACACCATGATGGTTGTCCCACAGAACACCCCACCTCTTGGGTTTGAGTGTTTCCCTGTGGAGTTCCTTAGCTTGTTCTTCTGTTCTCTATGTGTCATGTAAAACATGATTAGATTCCAGTTAAACATTTTGGCTAAGATGCGCACTTCACATTGTATCTCATTAGGAGACACGTTTTTGTTCCATTATTTATAATACTGAGATTGATGACTGGGTGAGAGTGATAGCACTCTGATTCCTCCGGTGTAAATTTTATTTATTTTTTTTCAGTCCTTACAAGTAAAAAGTAATCTTTGTGGTGTTACTTTGGTACTATACAGATGTCTGATTCTCTGTCAGTCTTTTGCTTGCTGGTTAAAACACTGATTGATAGTCATTGCCTGAATTGATGATTTCATGAGAGTTTGCAAAATGATGGTTTTCTCATTCTGTCATTCTATCTACATTTATAATTAACATTTTTCTATAAAGAAGAGCTTTTCCTCTTCACTTGGAGCTATTTGGCTCCCCTGAACTGCAGATCATTCTTTAAGGCAAACAAACAAACAAACAAACAAACAAACAAACAAAATAAAACAACTTGTCTTCTCCTGCAGTAGTTTTCATGTAAGAGGTTGGGTACTAGCTGCCTCACTGAAATGTAATACGTTGCTGTATTCGGTTGCAGGTGTTTTATAATTACCAGTACGGTATTCTCGTTAATACGGGTTTGGTGTGTAAGGGTTTTGAGTTTCCAGATAGGCTTTTTTGTTTATGTGTTTTTCAGGTTATGTTTTTGTAGTTAAGTTAAAATTATATTGTAGTCAGATGATGAGGCCTGTGTTAAATTGAGTTTTGAAAAAGAGATGGCTTGTGTAACTTAATGTGATCAATTTAAATAAATTTTTCATATAGTCTTGAAATGAATATTCCTATTCTTTTCAATTGGGTGAAAGGTGCTAAATTACAATTATTAATAAAATTATTTGAAACACTCATATCTCTGTTTTTGTTGCTTGATGTGTTAGTTATTTAGAGAGAATTGTTAAAAATCCATTAGTATGATAGATTCTTCCATTTGTACTCATATTTTTCAGCATTTGCTTTATATATTTTGAGACTATATTTTTATGTTAAATAGTTTCATGATTGTTAAATAATCTTGTTGGATGGTTCTTTATTAGTAACACAATCTCCTTGTTCCTTTTAAGTGCTGTTCATTTAAAATATGTGACATTAATAAGTAACTACAATGGACTTCTGATTGGCATTTTCCTGATTTTTAAAAATGTCCTAATCTTTAAACTTCTGTGTTTTGTTTTAGGCATGTATCTTATAAGCAGTATAAGGCAGAATTTTGAGCCAATCTGAGCTGTTTTTCAGTAGGTGAGTTTACTTTCGTATTTGCTCTGATGATACATTTAAATTCACTTTTGCCATCTTCTTTTGTGTTTTCCATTTGCCATGCATTTTCTTTGCTTTTTGTCTCTTCTCCTCCCCTCTGTTGAATTGATAGCTTCCTTTCTTTCTTTTATTTCTCAATCTGTGGAATGTATATGTTTCATATGTATTCTCTCAGTGGTCACTTTAAAGGTTAATATGCATTCTTAAATGAATTTTTTTGCAGAAAAGTTTCTCAGTCTTTCCTTGTTCCTCCTGAACTAAATAGGAATGTTAACATATTTTAATTTTTCTTTGAAAATCTTTTTACAGCAATCATGTTATTTTTATATAGTATTTTAGTTTTGCTTTTTTAATGACACAAAAAAATACTGTTTTTGTGCTCGTTCTCTCTCTTTTTTAGCATCTATATTTACTAATTTTCATTATCTTTTAATAATCTCTTTATTTACTTTTTTTTCTTGCATTTCATTCCTTCCTCCTGAGTTCATTTTTCTCCTTACTAAAATACATTCCTTTGGTACTTTTTTTAGCTAGAGTTTGTTAGTTTGTAAGTCCTATTCTATTTGAAAGAGTCTTTATTTCACCTTCATTTCATTTGAACTCTCTGAAATTCACTTGTGAAATATGTACAGTAAAACCAGTTGGCCCAACATAGGGTTATTGGGGGGAGCTATTAATATTTGTTGAAACACTTTATAAACTGTTTCATGTATATGTGTGTAATGCTATTATTATTAGATAATTTAAACCTGTTAGGTTTATATTAGAATTACTGTGCTTTGAATGGATTTTTAAAATCGTTTGTTACTGTATTGGCATAAGACTTACTGAAATAATGGAGAATAATACCTACTAGAAATGTCATGAATTGTACATGCTCACACCGTGGGAGAAGAGTTGGGATAAGATGCAGCTCAGGGTCCTAACTGCTAGCTTGCAGTTACTACCGTTCAGTGGAATTTAGAGACATGCAAGCATGAAATCCAGTTTTTTGGCTTTTTTAAAAAATCTGTTTACAAAGAAAGTACACAAATAGTGTGGAAAATACACATGTTACAAAAAGGAAAAAGAAAGAAAGACAGAAATCATCCAGAAATCCCACAGAGTAGAAACCATTGACATGTTGGGACACACCCTGCCAGACATCTTGCTCTGTGTGTGTGACTGTATGGACCGATGGAGTCTTCTCATCTTTCAGAAGGAATCGTACTACACTTGTAGTTTTGCAGCCGCATCTTTCGTTTAGTAATATATCAACGGAATATAGATAAGCATCATTGCATATAATGAATAAATATATGCTGTTGTACAGATGTGTCATCAATTTTGTTTAACCAATTCCCTATTGGGAGACTTAAAATAATTTTTATATTATAAATTATGCACAGTTGCCCGATTATTTAAGAGAAATTGCTTGCAATGGTATTGGTCAAAGAGTGTGCACATTCAAATTTTTGATAAATGTTTAACATTTCTCTCCAGAAAGTACACAAGAATGCTTCTTTTCCTCACACAAACTAAGTACTATCACTTTTCTTCTTTGATTTTTTAGTTTGGGATTTTTGTTAATATCTCTGCTTACTTGTGTGTTTGAATATCTTTCCTTATTTTATTGACCATTTGCAGTACTTTTGGGAATTTCCCTTTGGGCCATTTATTCTCTTGTGTTCATCTGTTTCTTACTACTCTATGAACTTTTTTTATTTGGCGTATAAATTCTTTATCATAAATCTCTTGGGTATTTTCCCCCTGTTTCTTTTTTTATCTTTCAACCTTGTTTGTGCTTTTTATTGTGTTGTTGTTTTTTGGTTTTCTGCATTTCAACCTTGTTCAAGAACTTTTTGAAATTTTTATTTAATCAAATTTCCTTTATGTGTTCTGTGTTTTCCCCCTACATGGAATAATTCAAAGTTCTTCCCCACTTCAAAATCATTGAAATGTTCATTTATATTTTCTCTTTTTTTTTCTTTTTCAATTTTATTACATAGAATTATTACAGTTTGACTACACATACACATTATATTGCATGTAAATACATATATACAATATACTGCAATTTTTTTAGTTTACATATATGTACTGATCATTGTTTCTAAGAACAGATTAGAGCTTTAGCTTTTTAAACTTACATAGTTATCAAAGGAATAGTGCTTCTACAGATTCATTTTTCTCCCATTTGACTCTAATCCTTTTGGAGTGTTTTTTGCCGTAAGGAGTGATTACACATCAGTGCTTCCTCTTTTTCACATCCTCTTTTGATTTTTAAACTTGACTAGCGAAAACCAAGGTATGAGAATGCTGAATCATGGCAGGAAGTGAGATGTGCCTCACTGTCTTTCAATTTACGGACGTGTCTTGGGTATTTATGAGTAGAGGTGGAGGTTTAGAGGGGAAGGAGTGGGTTGGGAAGTGGTAGTTCACAGTCTCACGTCAGGTTTGCCTTCCATGAATGTGTGTGGTGCAGAGAATTGGACAGGATGCCAGCAGAATGTCTCTTAGAAGTTTTGTGTTTCACGTCTTTTAGTGACCCCCAAGTTCTTTATCTAGGAAAGTGGAACTGTGGTAGAAAGTGGAACTGAGACATCAGCTGACATGAGAACTTAGATGCTCTTCTTCCATGATGAACTCACGAACTTTCTGAATTCTGTGGACTGGTGGGTTTTGTGTTTTTTTTTAACTTTTTATTTCAACCTATGTTTTAGTTCAGAAAGGAATTGGAGTTAGGGGGGGCAGGGGTTCCCTTTCCTTTTGACTTCTAATCCCTTGACCCACAAGTAAATGCTGTTCAGTTTCTTATCTATCTTACAGAAATTTCAAGCATTATTTTTTGACTGCTACTCACTGCTGAATGCTCAGTTGGTGAAGGTGAAAGACTTTTCACTCAGAAGAAGTAAATCAAGAAGGTAAGAAATAGAAATCCATTTATGGCTTTGAAACACTTTACAAATAGTAAGAATTCATCAAGATTCTTTCTTTAGGACAATCCCTTTTGGCAATAGAAATCAACTTAGTGAATGTCAACAGGATAGAATAGCTGCCAAGGGTGGAGCAAGCTGGTGACGACATCCTGTGTGTGACGTCCCTGACACCAGCCAGATGCTCTGCACAAGCGGTCACTAATCCGCACCGGGTTAGCATCTTCAGCGTAGAGATGTGGAAACTGAGACTCCCAGAGATAAACCTGCCCTTGCCCTGATTGGTAAAGGACAGAGTTGGGTGTGGACTCTGGTCTCTGCCTTTGGAGCTGCGTCTGTTGTGGGTAACCTGAAGTCTGTTCCAGCCAGTCCTTGAAAGACC